GATGTCTACTGCAGCTGGAGGAAATAGAGACCATGTCGATGTCGGGAACTCGATGAAGCAGCTAATTGCGGCCTGCAGGAGGCAAGCAAGAGCGGCGGTCCGCTGGGATAGGGTTGCGGCCTGCTGAGGCAGGGAGGAGTGGAGGCCTGCAGGGGAAGGGAGCGGTGGTTGTGAAGTGCTGCTAGAACTCTCAAGGAAGGTTGCGACACCTGCTGGGAGGGAGGCGACAACTGGCGGTAAGCTGGACTGAGGGTTGAGGCCTGTTGGGAGGGAGGCGGTAGCGTGCTGGAAGTGGTTGGCATACTAGAAGGAAGGCGATGACAAGGGCTCAGGCCTATTGGGAGGGAGGCAACAATTGGCTTGGAACTGATCGAAGGGTTGTGGCCTACTGGGAGGATGACGATATCGGGCTGGAAGGGCCGCGGCTTGTTGGGAGGGAGGAGGCAGCTGGAAAAACCGGCAAGCGGCAGGGGCTTGCTAGCCGCAAGAAGGAGCCGGTGGTATGGCAGGGGGGTGAGAAGGGTAGTTGGCAGGAGGGTAGGGAATGTTGTTTGTGAGTGTTGGAGGAGGTTGTGGAGGTGCGGTGACCTGTCGGGGTGCAGGAAGGAGTCAGAGCAATAGAGATAAAAACAACCGGACGTGGTTACAGTCAGAACACTTTTCTATCTTTGGATACAACCTTCAAGAGGGAAAACATTAAGACAATGCTGAATTCAGATTAAAAAACAAGACCCCTAACTCTAAGCATATCATTCCCTATTTAAAAAGATGTTAGATTTATTTTTGGTAATAAGAAAGGTGAATAAAATATAATTAGAATTTTAAAATTTAAGAAAGAATTTAAAATAAGGAAGGATTTAAAACAAGACGGGAGAATAAAATATAATCAAGGATTCAGATTTTAGGAAAGGATTCTAAATAGGAAAGTGCTAGGAAGGAAAGGGTGAAGGGGAGCGAAAGGAAAGGTGAGGAAGGAGGGGGGTGGGGCAGCAAACTAGCTATACTAGAAGCGTCGAACTGCAACTGGAGGAAATAAATACGATGTTGAGGGTTGGAACCTGGTGAAGCAGTTGATTGCAACATGCAGGAGGCAGGGAAAAACGGTGGTCTGCTGGGAAAGGGAGGAGTGGCGGCCTGCAGGGGCATGGAGGAGTGGTGGGCTGCAGGGGTAAGGAGCGGCAACTATGAAGTGCTTTTGGGATTGGGGGGGGGGGGGGGGGGGCGCCTTTCGGCGTTCTGGGAGGAGAACTTGCTGGAACCCAAAGGAACGCTGCGGCCCCTGCTGGGAGGGAGGCAACAACTGGCAGTAAGCTAGACTAAGGGTTGCGGTCTACTGGGAGGGAGGCAATAGCATGTTGGAAGTGGCCTGCTTATTGGGAGGAAGGCGACAACAGGTTGGAAGGGTTGCAACTTCTTGGGAGGGAGGCGAAAGCTAGCTTGGAACAGATCGAAAGGTTGTGGCCTACTTGGGGGACGACGATAGCGGGCTGGAAGGGCTTCGACTTGCTGGGAGGGAGGCGGCAGCTGGAAAAACGGTCCATCGGCGGGGGCTTGCTGGCTGCAGGAAGGAGCTGGTGGTATGGAAGGAGGAAGAAGGGTAGCTGGCAGGAGGGTAGGGAATGTTGTTTGTGAGTGTTGGAGGCTATGGAGGTGCGGTGTCCTGTCGGGGTGCAGGAAGGATAGAGATAATCAAAACCGGACGTGGTTACAACCGGAGTACCTCTCTCGTCGTCAGATACAACCCTCAAGAGGGAAATCACTAAAACAATACTGAATTCAGATTAAAAAACAAGACTCCTAACTCTAAGCATATCATCCTCTATTTATAAAGAGATTAGATTTATTTTCGATAATAACAAAGGTGAATAAAATATAATTAGAATTTTAAATTTTAGGAAAGGATCTAAAATAAAGAAGGATTTAAAATAAGATGGGAGATTAAAATATAATCAGGATTTCAGATTTTAGGAAAATGATTCTAAATAGAAAAGTTCTAGGAAGGACAGGGTCAGGGGGAGACCCCCTCTTTTGAGGATCGACCTGCTGGACCGAATCCAGGCTAATCCTCAGAGCCCGACATCACTAGAAGGATGCAAAATTATTAGAGAAGTATTTTAGCACTGCTAAACCCGAACAGAAGAGATGTCTAGGAATGTGATAATTACGAAGTAATAAAATCTTGAGTTATAGAATGAATTTATGTGCCAAAGTAATGATCTAACATATAGATAAGAAAATTACGTTATTTTCAAAGAATCAGTTTAATAAATGTTTTGAAGATGGATGACTTATATTAGAACATAAAACTGATTATAAAATATGTTATATAAGTGTTGGGAGATTAACATTTAATTAATTTCATAAAATGATAAATTTTTGCCTAATTGTGATGGATTTAATCACTTGAGAACCATATTGAAAGAGACAATATAAATGTTATAATTACAAGAGCTAATGATATGTGATTAATGTAATGTTTGTAGAGAGATCGATATTCCTAGCATTTTTATGGAGAGAATTTTTCCTTGCCTTAAATTTGGGACCTCCATAATTCGCCAAAACCATCTTTTTCACTATTCCAGGCCTTCCTTTTCAAGTATTATGCTATGAGAGGATATCAATTAGACTTGAAGGTAAATTTAGAAGGCTGTATCTTGATTCATAGTATTGTATGAATTTGAGTGTTGGGCAATAATGAAGTCATTGATTGCTAAGTTGATCGTCACAACAAATTAGAAATGGTAGTTAAAGAATGGTTATATTAAGGAATGCTTGAAGTCACATGCATTGAAGATATGATAATTTATGATAGAATTAGGTGGTTCGAATATGTGTAAAAATGGCATTGAGATTGCTTCTATTATGTGGGTAGATAAAATTACTGTTGGAGGATTAAGGAGTATATTAAGTAACATTAGTAGAACATGATCAAAATAATTTATTGTGAATGTTTTTTGCACATTAGGGAGCACTCAACGAGAAAGAATGAAAAATGACGATTCATAAATTTGATTATAATTATTTGTGATAAGGGAAATAATGATGTCGATGAACTTTCAATTGAGTTTTTAATATGGTATTTTAATTGTCTATCTTCAGATGTGCTCTCTGGCCTTCATGTCTTTTTTTGTCGGAGTTTATACTTTCTTACCCAAAGTTGTTCTCGGATAAGGTTTGCTTTGAGGTAAGTTAAAATTTTTATCAGTTGACGTAATTCCTATGATTTTTTCTATGTTAGTGATAACCGTGAAAATTTTTAACTAGAAAAGGGTTTTATGTTTCAAATTATATATTTTTGTTATCATTGTAATGGTGAAGTTTTAATGATCATTATGTTTGTAATGCAGACGAAAAACATGAAGATAAGCATGTTGATGGGTGGAATGTATGATGCGTGGAAAATATGGCATTAGAGGGTCCTTTAGAATTTTGAACATAAAACACTTGAATGAATGATTTTTCATTTTGAATGAGAATCTGGAAAAAAAAAAAAAACAACATTCTTGCAAGTTCAAGGACAGGACAGCTTGTAGCTGGAAGCATAACAATCCTCTTTAGGTCAGATATGGCATTTATTGGGAGTAGACATTTCTACACTTGGCGCAACATGTGCTTGTTATGCTAACGTGTGTCCCTTCTTTAATGGTTTGGGCATTTTTAGGAGATGACTTATGAGATATACTTCACCGAATTGGTTTGAAAAAGGAGTGTTCCTCTTTAGTTGGTTTGAAACTTCAATTCCTATTAAGACATTTGATAAATGTGTTATGATCCAATGTCAAAATCGGCACACTTTTCCACAGAAATTAGGGCAAACACAACACTTCTTCAATAATTCAAACAACTCAACAAGAATACAAACATAAACACCCACAATTCAAGAAGCAGGCGATCTCTCCCAATTCCTACAATTTCAGAGGTAAGAAATATCTCCCAAATCCTAAACCTAAGACTCACAACTCAATCTCATACCTAAACCTAACCCTAGACATATCAAGCGTATTTATACCCAACAACAATAAAATAAAAGACTTTGCTGTTAGGCGTGCAAAAGACAAATTTGCCCTTTGGCTAGGCACTATTGTAACAATACTCCCCCCAAAAGACATCTTGTTCTCATGGTGAGAAAAAGTGAGTGTTCCTTTTCCTTCCCCCACAATTTCTCTATTTCTTCATTTACTGCCTCCTCGTCATGCACTGAGAAAACTTGTAATCTTTTATCTTTGCAACTGTCCTGGGAAAAACTTTTCATTACAACTTCTACTAAATCTCTATTTCTATAAGACGCTCGAGTGATGCTCCCAATCGTGGTCCATTATTCATGTCCCGTGCAACCTCCCTATGAAATTTCACTATTTGAGCTTTTGGTATCGTTGTGATTGTAGAAGTTCAATACGATGTACCATCTGTGTTGCTCCTACTGGCCTTCTTCATCTGATTCTTGTATTCTACCTTCTGAGCTAGCTCCATTGTTTCTTTCAATCCCTGTAGTCTCAATAGTTGAAGTGATTCCCGTTTGTTGGGCTTTAGGCTTTTCATGAAATGTCTCTTTGATTCTGCTTCAGAAACACACTTCAACTTTTCTGACAATAGCTCAAATCTATCCCTATATTTCATCACATTCCCCTCTCAAGTTCAGACATAAAATTTCTCTTGCAGGTTTCCTTTCTGAATTGTTTGGAAACATTCCAACAAAGAATCCTTGATTTCCTCCCACGAATTGTTTGGGTATCTAGCCTCCCTCCACTGAAATCAGGCTAGAGATTTCCATTCCAACCATAAGTCTGCTGTTATGAGTTTTTTCTCCCTATCTAGCCCATTCACCGTGAAGCATTGTTCCTCTCTATACACCCAACCAAGTGCGTTTTGCCCCTCGAAGATCGAGATCTTCAAGTTCCTAACTCTAACATCTCCACGCTAACTTTCTCTTCCTTCGTTGTTTCCCCTCATGTATTGAGAGTAAAACTCTCTCCTTTGATTATATCCTTATCCCCTCCCCGCGTCTTTACTTTCTTCTTCGTGCTTCTCCATATCTCTTGCATAATCTCTTCTCCATATTTCAGCAAAACTACCTTCATCAGAAACCTCTAATCCACCCCAATCAGTCCTGAAATTGGGTTCGTGATGGTGGAAGTTTTCGTCATGTTCCTCACGTTCGATTTTTTCTCCTTTCGATCTTACCACAGATTCTCCAGTGAACTTTTGGTTAGGGTTTGCAAATTGAGTCATCGACGGGGCATTGGATTGCATTTCAATGAATCTCTTTAACATCTCTCGAATTCCCCATGCAGTCAAATCTGTCCTCCAGTCGGCTTTCCTTAGAAGAGAACCCATCCTCTATGATGGCGAAACTTTCTTCCATCCCAGATTTGATTGGACTCATCTCTTCCTCTAATTTATTTTCCAAATCATATACTTTATTAGTTGTCGTTATTTTCTATCACTAGAACACACTCGATTTCGGATCCAGTCACCGATTTCTATAATCACAATTAGGGCATGCCTTATTCCGTCGCAGCCTTCCCCGCTAGTTCTTATCTGATCGAGTCTATTTCACGCGATTTAGTGAGATGAAGATGAATGTAAGCTGGAACCCTTTATGTTTCCTAGCTAACTCGAACCGTTGTAGTATCACAAACCTTTTGTCGTGACTTGATAAGATCTCATTGTCGCCTTCCCTGCAAGTTCTGATTGCGACTGTATTGCAGGGTTTGGTTACACAGGCGACAACCAGCCTTCCCAGCAAGCTCTGATTGCAACTATCACAACAAGCTTTGATCGACTGTATCGTAAGATTCAGTCACGATAGTGCGGTTAAAAGAAGGCTAAACCCGTCATTGATTTTTCTGTAAGCCACGAGCCCATCGTTGCCTTCTTCTGTAAGCTGCGAGCCTGCTAGGTTGAATGGATTGACAATAGTTCTGTAGGCCGAGATCCCTTCGGTCTATTGAGCTGGTTTCTCTTGCGAGTGTATCAAATGGATTTTAGGGTCTCTGTACGCCTCGATTCTTCAGCTACTCCAATCGCGACAGTTTTGCGACATGAAGTCATGGGTATGTTGTGATCCTTCCTCACCACCCTCAAATCACGTTGTAATGCTGCCTACACGTCGCGATCCGACTTTTGCGTCCTAGTTTGCGACAATTTTGGCATTGGACACGGTGATCCAGTCGGGACGAAGGCTATAGACCCAGCTCTGTACACTGATGTGGGGAGATCCTATTGACTTCGATCCTGTCGGTGATCTCGCTATTATCTATTGCTCTTATACCAACTTGTTACGATCTGACGTTAATATCGACATGTTTTCCCATAGAAATTAGGGCCAACACAACATTTCTTAATTATTCAAACTACTCAACAAGATGTCACGAGTCGACCCAATAAGCTTGGAATTACCAAGGCGGGAACTGATAGTCGGACGGATGAAACCTATCTAACGGTTTCATTTCATCACAAAAATAAAACCAAGAACACAAAAGAACCATTCTAATTCATAAATCTTATATTAACAATAAATTATTCATATTTAAATATTTACATTTACATTTATACAAAAAATAAACTAAACTGCAATACCCATCAACTTGCGCTCATTGGAACCTGTACATATACTTTCTGGGGACCATCTAATTTACGACTGATTTTCTGTAAAAATGTTATCAACTATGGTTTGAGTTGAATGTTTCTAAATTACAGTTTTTCTCATTTTAAAATATTTTTATAAAAGTTCGGTAACAATGAAAGCCGTGCAAGAAAAGAGAAGTAAAGAAATAAATTTCATTTCGTTTCATTTATTTATGTTATAATTTTTATAATTATGAGTTACCATCTGAACGTATACTTTATAAAATATATGTTTAAACTTCACCAACCCACCATATAAGTATACAACTATTTCCATTTTCTTTTTCATTTTAATTTTCATTTTCATTTCGTGCATGGGTACAATGCATTCCCTGCTAGTACCATCCAATGGTGACTCTCATAGGCATGCATATATCATATTTTATTCATTTTTTCTTGCATTTAACATTTAAAAGAAAACTTGCATTTAACATTTAAAAATAAACGTGAACTTTTGCATTTTAAAGTAAAAGCTAGGAAACAATGAAAATATGTGCAAATAAATAGAACTATTGTAAAAATAAAAACATGTTACTACCCAACAATGTCTGCTATTGTTTTCCTCGGATAAATCTAATCCTTTTTCTGAATCTATAATACTATATTAGACTTAATTAATTTTTGATAACACATCATATTTAATTAATTTACATCAATTTTTGACCATTTTTCTCATGAATTGTAACCTAACTAGTTAGATATTTTTATTTGTCCTTTTTATCTAATTAAATAATTTTTTATTGTTAATCAATATGAGTAATTTTTTAAATTACTTTTAATCTTAACACTAAACATTTATAATTTAGTTAAATACATTCTAAGACAATTAATCAGACTTCTTAAATATTGTTTTGAAAATGAATACTAATTAATGAAGCATATAATAATTAAATGTAAAATTCAGAGTTTATACCTAAAATTTCTCTCCTCAATAAAGTTTTATCCTGTTTAATCGTTTTCGCCAATCACCTGTTTTATGTGGTTCGGTGCGACGGAGATGCCACAGAGATAAGAGAGGCGATCATGATTTAGGGAAGTTGCACACTATCCCGTCTGTGGCTTCCCAGCTAGCTTGAATCTCGAGTATCGCGGGGTTTGATGCAGCGACTGGACGATTCAGCATGAACATAAGTTTTGGAACCGTCGAACCCTCTGATACCAATTTGATGGGAACCTGCACAAATTTCTACACATAAATTAGGGCAAAACAAATTGCTTTCTTCAATAACACGAACAACACACATATAAAGGATAAACACCTACAAATCGAGAGGTAGGTGGGCTCTCTCAAATTTAACAATTCAAGAGGTGTTCTAAACCCTCACTCTAAGATACAATACTCAATCCCATGCATAATCCTGAACGTAAATTATTAAGCTTTATTTATATCAAATAATAATAAATAATAAAAGAATAAATTGCCCTTAGACTGGGCACTGTCATAACTAAATTAAAACCGCTTATATATCTGCTCATAAATGCAGTCCATGCTTTTGTGTAATAATCACTGTCGGAGGTGAATATTCCTAAATTCACCTGCAGATTGCTGCTGTAAAAAAATCAACCGTGCTAACCTGCATTTCTATTTTGCAAATAAACAAGCGTTCGAAAACGGAATTTGTCATAATAATTTCAAATTAGGGGTTTTGGAATTGCCAATTTTTTAGTTACATTTGAAAATTATTTATATTGTCTCTTTTACTAATTAGGGTTGTTATAATTTCTTTCTGGATATATTTATTTGCATTTTCAACTAAAATGTAACTGCAAGGAAATTAACAAATTTTTTTTGTCTACATTTTTCCTGCTTTATAACAGTTATTCATCTTTTATTATCTACTAATTATTTTTATCGTATTTCTTCAATCAACCTGGCTTTATAAATTATGTAGGATTTCTTATCTATGTTTCAAAGGATTATTTTCATTAATGCTTTCCCATTTCTGTACTTTCTCTTAAAATTAATTGTTACTTTTAATATTTGGCATAATTTTGCTGCCTTTCCGAGAATATTTAGGTTGGTTCTGGTGTAGGTTTGGTTGGTGTTGCTCTTGCACATGTTGGAGCCTCCAAAGTAAGCTCTCATATACCTTTTTTATGGTGAACTTCAAAAAATAGTTTTTGAAGTAGCTTATATGCGTTAATAGGTACCTTGTATTACTAGAAATGCTGCTCTTTGGATTGCATTGATTTATTGTGGTGAGTTTATAGGTGCATTCTTGTTACATTAACATTCATATACTAGTTTAACAGGCTGTGCGAATGTGGTCGCTAAACTTTTTTGCATACCGAAACTGATTTTATTTCTATCTTATTACATGCAATAATTATGTTATGTGCTCTACAACCAAAACACTTGATTAAATATTTCTCTTTTCAAATTTAGTTTGTGGATTTTGTTTTCCTGATATAGTCTTATGTTAATCTTAAGGATATATTTGTTTATGTAGGTTAGCCAATGATTTTTTTTTTGTCTATTCTTTCAAAGTTAGACTTTATTTTGAGCTTGATTTCCAGCCTGACCTGGTTGACACCGCTTATGTTTTTCACTTAGGCATGAATTCATGCTAAATGGGCTGGATCAGGCAGACTGGCGAAGGAAGAAAGCCTTAGATTATTTTAGTTAAAATGCATGCCTTGGAGTTTTTTATTAATATGTAACTATATAGCAAATTATGCAATTAATTATTATTTTGTATATTCAAGGATGTATGACTAGAGAATGAAGGCTGCATTGTGGTAATGCTTTATTGTAACCACAATATCAAAGATTATGACGGTTGTCCGTCCCTAAAAAAATGAATTTCAAAATTTGCATTAAGGTGCCTTAGTAATGTTGTAAGAATATAGTGTGGATAACAAACACTGGCCAATTTTATTTTCTAAAGGTATAAAACTGATCCAATCTACATACTTAATGTTACAACATACGCCTGCCATAAAAGGCATGAATATATAGGAAAGAGTTATGGAAAATTTTTTCAAGGACCTATATTGATCTCTGTATTAAAAAATTATTCTTTTGTGTTGTATTTTTGGTTATTTTCTATACAGAAAGCAGATTGTTGTATTTTGCCTGTAGTTTGCTGGAGACTATAATCAGGAATCGTTTTTTCCTTCTTCCGTAGGGTTCAAGTTGACCTAGAACAGCAGCAGGAACGATGTCAGACTGACAGAGAAATGACACTGGTGGAAAACCTGATTGGCATTTGGGAGAAGAAAGCAACCATTTTAGGAGAGGTTGGAAGGTCAATGGCAAGTTAAGGGGAAGGAGAAGGAGATAATTTTGGGAGAGAATTCAAAGCCTTTCATTGCCAGATTAGGGTATCATATGCGTTTTAAAACATGTTTTAATTTTAGCTCCAAATAACAAGTTAGATGACACCAAATTAAAAGAAGAACACAACATATTTATCCTAATCTATTTCTATCCCAAGGCTGGCCGGTTCAGATATGGATCTAATTCTAGCTGCTCAACACTCCTTGTGGTTTCTTTGTGATCTTCGATTAATGATGCAGCTTCTAAGGTTTGAATCTCCCTTTAAGATGTGTGATTGATGACCCGGTTATTTACGTCAACTCATGGAGATCTTTTTGTTTGATTTCATTGGTGTGATTTCAAAAGCGCCATTGTTGGTAAACTCTATTAAGAAACTTGGTCATGCAAAATCAACTGACACATTTTTGGGTCCTTCACGATCTAATAATCTAGTGGCGAGGGAAACCTCATATACTTTGAAGCAGATGACGGATTAACCATCCTTTTCAATATAAAATCCTTAAATCATGAATCCCTTTTGACGCAGGGCGCTAAAGCGCCGCCCGGCTTAATTGGCTGGCATAACTCCCGCAACTGATCCAAGGACCGGTCGGGCAGTCTAGGTGGGAGGCTCGCGGCTTCTGGAGAAGGACGGAAGGTAGGAGAGCGGTCCAGGAAGGAGTCTTGCGATTTCTGGAGAGGACCAGAAATAATTCTTGTGATCTCTGGGGCGAGGTAGAACTACCGTCCCTCCTATTCCTTCCTTTGGCGCCCTCCTCTATATGGAAGGTCTTTAATGGCTATTTCTGGAATAATCTTGTCTACCTCACCCTTTCCTTTTCTGTTGGGATTTCCTTTTCTTCTCCCATTGTATGGAGTAGTTTTCTGGCTACTGTGTTCAGATTTCTCCTTTGGTGTACTTTTCTCCCTTGCTAAGGGCTGTATCCTACGACGGGTGGTGCTTCAGCTGTATCCCTCTCTAAGGTGGGGTTGTATCTCCCCTTACCTACCTCTCCTAGCCTTCCTACTTGCAGTCCCCTCCCTTAGGTTTCCTATCAACCATTCTCCCTTACTCCAACCTCCACAAAACCCTCACCCGTTACTTCCACAATCCACCCTTCCACTCCAGGTTACTATCTTTCCACCATATAGCTGCCATAGCCTTTGCATCCTCTCCAACCGCAGCACCACCTCACCTTCCTATGCCAAGTGAGTGTGTGTTGTTGTTTTTGTTTCTATTTTCAGCGCCACGTCTGTATCCCTTTTTAATTTTAACAATACAGTTTGTTTTTACATTGTGGTTCGGGTAAACTCCAATATCACCTTCTTTAGGAGTATTTTACTTTTTTGAAATTAAAGCATATATATTCAACTTCTTTGGTCTATCATTTAGCATTGCTTGATAGCTTTATTTTGCTAACTATACAAAATGTCTCCTTTGGCCTATATTCGGTGTTGGTAGGTTTTTGCTCTATAAGAATGCCTAAATTAAAGGGTACTTAGCGTATGAAAACTATATCATCAATAGTAGGAATGATCTTTGAAGCTGAACAACAACCATGGGAGATTTAATGGGATTCGAGTTCTTCACAAGGATAATGAAATACATTGTCATGCATCGCAACTTTTTTCGAGAAGCATGGTTTTGTTGCAAATTGAGCAAGCAGAATATTATTCACTTCATTACATGACATGCGCTTGGTTAAAATAAAGGGCAATTCTAAGAAAGAAACTAATAGTAAAATGTCTAATTTCAAGAATATGTGTGATGAGTCAAGTTGCCCAAACTAGAAATGTATTAATGACATAATTATTATAGAATAGGAAGAATCAAGTTATTCTCAGGTTGTCCTATCAACCATTCCATTGTTCAAAATTCATGAAATTCACTTTCTTGAGCTGATGAAGTGAACAAGCACAACTTGAGGATCTTCCTCGTTGAAGGCCTTTAAGTGGATTTTCGAAGGAATGGTGTAAGCCGAAAGGTATTGTTATTGATATCGAAGTTAACCCAAGGAAGAACAAATATTGTTATTCAAAATCAAATAGAGGTTACAATCAGAGACACTTGAAGACTAGAAAATAATAATGACACAATACGACTCAACTAAGGCTGAGAGCGACAACGACGATGCTGCGGTTTAAGGGGAAATAGTAACTAAAGTTGGTTTGTGGTGGTTGGAAGGGCGGCAAGAAGTGGTAGGTGGCTGAAAAGAGACAACAACAGGTGGGAGGTGGCTGACAGCAAGTTGCAGGGGCTGGAAGGGGGTCGACAACAAGTTGTAGGGTCTGGAATAGAAAGACATCAGGTTGAAGGTGGCTGGGAAAGGCGACGCTAGGTTAGAGTTGGCTGGAAATGAGGTGGCAGTAGGTAGCCAGGTGGGAGGTGGCTATCAGCAAGTTGTAGTGGTTGAAAGGTAAAGGTGGTAGGTTGTAGGTGGCTGGGAAGGGAGGTAGTAGGTTAGAGGTGGTAGTAAGTAGGCAGGTGGTTGGAGAGGCTGACATCAAGATGGAGACGGTTGGCAGGGCTAACAGTGAGGGAGAGATTGTTGGCTGTAGCAAAACAACTCAGACTCTATTACCGACTGACGACAGCAACCACAACGACGACGACAGTGGAGGGCAAGCTGTGGGGAAGCATAGAACGATAGAAAACCAGCACCTCGTTACAAGTTACAACTGAAGCAACTTCTCGCCTTCGGATACTGCTCTAGGAAGGAAAATGGAATGTCGTCAGCTGATTTGAAGTTTGTTGTCGCCCTTCCAACTACCTTCGACCTTCACCATTAAAAAGATGGTAGCCCCGAAAATTGGCTTAGCTCAATAAAGGACTATAAGAGTGTCTTGCTCATGATCGCCTCTATCTTCATAGGTTCCATCTGATTGTCTGCATCTGATACAATGTAAACCAAAAAATTTACCCGTGCAGTCAAAAAGTGACATTTCTTCGGGTGGGCACATAGCTTCTCTTATCCTATAACCTCTCAAAAAATACTCCAGATGTTGCAAGTTCTCCCCCTCGAAATTGCTGTAGACAAGGATGTCATCGATGTAAACAACTGCTAACTTTTCGATGAAGACAGGAACACCTAATTCACTAGCCTCAGAAAGATTCTAGACCGTCTAAATGGCATGACAACCCACTCGTACAACCTATCTCCGGTCTTGAAGAGGGTCTTCCATTCATCCCTTGGCCTTATTATAGTATGATGATTGCTGCGCAAATTAATCTTGGAAAAGACTATTGCTCCGTGTAACTGATTTGAATGTTTGTCCAAGTGAGGGATAGAGAACCAATATTTGATGGTGATCTTGTTGATAACATGATTATCGATGCACATCCTCCACGAGCATACTTCTTGGGCACCATCAGTGTGGCGACAATGCATGAGCTTGTACTCTCTCTCACTAATCTTTATTAATGAGATCCTACACTTGCCTTTGTAACTCCTCATACTCAGTTGACCTCAAGTTGTATGCAAACATATTTGGACACAATTATTCTTAGATAAGATATATGGTGTGTTGGATATCCTTAAGTGGCAGTTGACCCTTCGACAAATTATCGAGCATCACCTCCTGAAACTCGACTAATAGTGATTGGACCGTCTCTGACAGATCCGTTTCCTCATTTTCTTCTTAGACGACTAAGTCCAGTATGATTGGGGCTTCTCAAACTGATTGCAGAAAAGTGGCGCGTGAAACCTTAGGCTTATCCCTTATAGGTGTAACTGCTTCTTTAGAATCCTTGATAGGTAAGAAAAAGATACGTTTCTCCAACTTTGTGAACACGCAAGTATTTTTGAATCTGTCGT